GCATAAATTCCACCTGTTTGTATCAGCTGCTCGTGCACGCGAGAGGAGATTAGCATAATTACCACCCCATAAACACCATATAAGGCTAATGTGGAATGGTACTTTTTCCCTGGCCATTCCACATTATTACAAATAACTTCATTTCTGGACATTTATTGTTTGATTTCTTTGTATGTATGGATCACTTGGGTTGTTACCGACATCTGGTGAAAATTTCATGTCATTAGCACCACTAGTAATATATTTACTGAGAAAAATGGTGACGTGTTCAATACTTATTTTACCTGCTGTATATGTAAAAGCTCTGTTGCTTTGTTACATTTTGTGATCATATTACCTGACAGCACCAGCGCAGATAAAGGCTTCTTAGTGATGACATGGTAGATAAGTAGCCCAATCCTGTGTCAGTGATTCGCACGCACCTGTAAGGAGAGAGCGAGCACATTATTTTTTGTGCTACTGTTTCTACAGTTTTCATTGTGTGAAACTGTCCAATACCCTGATATTGAATAACTTTCTATAAAATAATTAGGGATGGAGGATGTGGAAGGTAGCATTACTAGTGATGTTCGATGGCGCCATTTTTCTTTCCGATACTGATACCAAGTAAAATTTGGCTGTTATCGGTGATACTGATCTGATGCTTTGTGATAACACACGGCTTTGGTGACATTTGGGGGCAATTTTAAGACAAAAATCCTACATTTGGGGACAACTGGTTCATTTGAGGACAAACGTCGAGTCCCTATTTGGTTTAAATGCCATTGGTGGGTTGGGGGGTTCGGTTTAGGACCAAGGTGTGAATTGAGTTTGATTGAATTGAGTTCACTTTAAAAGTGTTTTAGTTGTAGTTGTGCGTCCAGTGATTACTTTCTAACATGCACTTTAAAACTTGCCCAATGATTTTTTAGGATTTTTTTCATGCTCACAACCTGAGTGGGTTGACTGCTGCAGATAACCGTCAGTACTATTTCCACATCATATTAGGACTTTTTGACTGAGTAACAACCACTTTTGTTCTTGCCAAGATAGCGGTGGCAGCAGACTTGAATCAAGTAGACTCCATCAGCTACAGATGTATATTCAGTAATTACTGTCTGAGGATTTTATTAAAATCACTTCAGTGGTTAATGAGATAACTGAGAGGCAGGGTTACACCAACAATTAATGCCAACATTTTTAATCAAGCAACTAAAAATCTGATAACAGGTAAGACACAGGCGTGCTACCAAATTTTAGCATGACATCTTTAAAATTTACAGAGATGTAATATATTTTTTTGTTAGCTAAGGTAGTTGTGTCAGCCATCTTGAATTTGATGGACCCCAAAAATTATTAGTTATTAGTAGTTATGTAGACATACGTGCTAATAATGTTTAATTAGGTACGTCAAGTGCTTCATGACATTATATATTATGCCAACAGACAGACAAACATAGATAACTCACAAAACATAAAAGGACTAATCAGAAATGACATGATACAAGATTTACAACAGGGCTATTCAACTGGCGGCCCGCGGGCCACATCCAGCCCGCCAACTGGTTCATTCATTTCTTCAGCTCAAACCTCCGGTTTTCTACTTTAATTACTCTAAGTTCTTTTAGTTAAACATGGACATGTTTGGTATCTACAGAAATGTCAGAATCTTGGCTAGAAGCTGGTAAAAACCACTTCTATAAACACTCAAGACAGTTAAAACTACAAACAGTTGAAGATAAAATGATGAAAGTGAAAATAAAATTGGTTTAAATTATTGGCAAGTCAGAGATGTCAAAATAATATTTGTGTCAAATAAGAGGCAAAATGAGTTCTTTTCGTTTTTGATAATGTTTAATTATCACTACTTTTATAGGTTTCTGTATGTTGTATTCATGATTAAATGCAGCAAAATAAACTAATTCAAAGGTAACAGATCTTTGTAATGCTTGGTTTATTTACATAATAACTTTAATTGCTGGATGTTCGGCCCCTGAGCTGTTGACCGAGAGTAACTGTGGCCCCCGGAGCAATTTAATTGAATAGCCCTGATTTACAGGGTCAATCATGATGAAAACATGTGACATCTATAGGAGTGACGGAAATTCGTGATCAACAAATGGAAGTCTGAATACTATGGCAGCAAACCAGTTCATTCTCTTTAAAAAGGCTTTATTCCAAATCTGCTCTGATCAGCAGCAGCAGCACTGCAGTCAGGCTTTGGAGTAAGAAGGCCTTGAAGGCCTTATTCTCTAGCAGCTGCTCTAAGGCTGCAAACTCAATAACTAACCAAAAAAACCTCCTCTCACATAATGAATCAACCTTTTAACGTATGCATCTGACTGGTCACACCCATGAAGGTGTTACCTTTTACGTCCAACATTAGAACGTAACCAACTTTGATTATTCTCACTCCACAACCACCTGAGAGTCGTTAGGGTCTTGTTGGAAGGCAACATTTCATTACTGTTTATATCATCTGTCTATAAAACGTGCGCTAATAATTGTTTTTGTTTGTTTTGTTTAGATTCATGTATCTTTTTACAAGGTTGAAATCACTGACTCAGAAGCAGCACTGACCTGTCGAGCACCAGCTCCTCCAGCTTGTGCAGATCACAAGCGATGTACTCCAGAGCCATGTCAGTGATCCGAGGGCACCAGGACAAGTCCAGGCTGCGCAGCTTCCGGAGGTTCTCAGCAACCAGCTCCACACCATCATCAGTGATCTTAGAACAGCCAGAGAGGCTGAGGGCAGTCAGGTTTGGAAGGCTGTGAACCATGTTTACCACTCCATGATTGGTGATCTCCCAGCAGGAGTGTAGCCGGAGCGTGTGGGTGGTGTAGCCCTGTGAACACGTTCGTAGTTTGCTTTAGTAGGAAGCAGAATCCAAAGTATTATTCTCCTGACTTTACCAAAAACAATGGCTGTGTTCAAAATATTCATTTGCTCACTACATGCTCATCACTATGTCACAGACTTTATAGGAGATTTAGTGTACTTCATTATTATGCACCAAATATTTGTAATTAGGTGTAAAAAAAACACACAGCTGAGTTTAAAGTGATGGATTACAGAAATCTTCTGGTTTCAGCTGATAATTAACATCATATGTCTCCATAACACTGATATTTAATTATTTTCCACATATTTTCTACACTTTTTCGTTGAACTGGAGCTGTTACATCACAATCTTCAACACATTACAATTAGCAGTTATCCCTGTACATAACAAATGTTTTTTGAGTGTGGAACAGTTAAAATGTGCCTCTGCATTGCAGCTTGTTCTATTTAAAATCTATAATTTATTTTTAACATGTTTCATTTTCAAACTTCAATGTTTTAAATATCTGCTCATATTTTCAAACATTTTCCTAAGCTCCAGAGTTCAGACAAATGAAACATTTTATGTAAGAAACATCTAAATCAGTGGCGTTCAACTGGTCTGGCTTTGGGATTAACCACCCTTTAATGAGAAGCTGCAAACCAAAATAAGAAAAAAATATTGAATGATTAGTTGATGCTGTTTGAACCTGAGAGTAGAATGATGTATTACAGTATACCAACACAAAAACAAGTTTAATGGCAAACAATCAGCAAGTGACAAAGCTATAGAGATATTCCCTTTTATGTGTTATTAGCTGTATTTTGATGAAAAACTTAACTCTCCACTTCAGTAACTTTATTAGCCTTTTTAAGAAACTTAACAGTGC